GGGTTTTGCTATATATAAATCTAATTACAATGTAAAATCCAGTTTTAATAGCAACACATTATATTATAATATCAATAATTTAAAACCAATTAATATACGAGTTCCTGAATTAAACTAGAGAAATGGCTTTGAAGGTGTGACCCACTAATACAACAGACGTTGATCGTCTCTTTATATCTAAATAATGTTCGTATTTCGAAGACATTAAAGGAATATTGAGAGAGGTTTCAACACTTTCAAATTCCATCTAATGTATTTGACTAGATGATATGACGATAGGTTGTTTAGATATGAAGAATGTGTTGTGCGCAGACTGCCTTATTCCCTGCTGATTGGCGGAGTCTTCTCCATCCGCACCGAGCAGCTGCTGTTGGTGAACGGCTACTCCAACCTCTACTGGGGCTGGGGCGGGGAGGATGACGACATGGCCTATAGGTCAGTCTATACTTACTGTTGTACTGTCTCACTTACTGTTGTTCTCTGTCTATTTTCTACGGTAGTTAGATTGAAGGTTTATTTCTGTGGTAGCTTGAATACAGGTCAGTCCATCTTGCCGTGTACTTACTGTTGTTCTCTGTCTATGTTCTATGGGAGTTAGCTTGTTTACAAGTAGGTTTATCTGTGGCAGATTTACTACAGGTCAGTCTCTCCTGCCGTATTTAATAATAGTCTCTGTCTATCTATATACCGAAGTTGGCTTATTTCGAAGTAGGTGTATCTATGATAGCTTGACTACAGGTCAATCCATCTTGCTGTACTTACTACTAGTTTGTCTATCTATCTAAGGTAGTTAGCCTATTCATAAGTAGGTTTATCTGTGGTAGATTTACTACAGGTCAGCCCATCCAGATGTAGATACTATTGTTCTCTGTCTATCTACGATAGTAGACTTGCTTACAGGTGAGTGTATCTGTGGTAGCTTGTCTACAGGTCAGTCCATCCGGCCGTGCATACCATTCTTTCCTGTCTATCTATCTACGGTATTTAGCTTGTTTACAGTTAGCTGTATCCGTGATAGCTTGACTACAGGTCTGTCCAACCTGATGAAGATACTACAGACTAGTTTATCTATAGTAGTATGCTTGTTTACGAATAAGTTTTTCCGCGATAGTTTTCCTTCGTGTTATTCATCATCCTTAGATACTACAGGTTTGCGTAACTCTGCCAGTTATCACGTCTAGAGTTAGGTGTATATGCGGTAGTTTGCTGCTAACACATCCTTCTGTCTGTCCTAAATTTCTGTCTTCTCTCCGGGTCAGCAAACATAAGGTTGTAACAAATATATTTACTGTCGATGTGTTTCTTTTAAATAGTATCATCAAATATTATTTCTACAGACCTTACTGCAA